CCTCGATACATATAAATATTTAAGATATACTTTTTACTATTCACTTAACATAAAAGTCCATCATTATTGATTACAAGAAATTCGCCCCTTATGTAAGCCTACAGACTACATAAGTATAGTAGTCTTACAAGATCTGTAGGCTACAAGATCTGAATTAGGAAAGGTGTGTCAGATGCATCGGAAAATACAAGTGTGGAAAAATGCACTTTTCATGCTTAGTATTTCTGAGCCTCTATTTTATAGATGAAAGAGACAAAGGAATGTTTGTGGCCTGAAGGTGTCTAAAGGTTTGAAATAACTTCTCCATTGTCTCATTACACACGCAAAAAAGCTATTAATTGAATAGTTTTCTTTGTTTACAATTGTTAATAACATGTTGATATTATCTGATTAATAACTGTATAGTTCTATAGGGAATCACTAAAATATCAAATCAATATAGAAAACAAACAGACTAATTTAACAATATACCCAATATAGCTATTTTTCCACTGATTCTGCATTGTGTCTGCTCCATGAATTTTACATCCGACTTAAGGCATAATATTTTCTAATTTGATTAGGCCTTACCTTAAACCTCTAGGACTGTAATGTGTGACACTATTTGGAATGGGGCAAGCAGAGTCTTTTAACCTCCAATTGGGCAATATTGACGTGAAATGCCAAGTTTATATTACGAACTTTGTCTCATACCCTGACGCGGTAGTCACCTTTCTTGTATCACGAAATTTAACTGGATTGTAAACAGGCCAATACAGCCAATCAAAGCCGCTGTCAGAAAAGACTATAAGCATTAGGCATATAGCTTATTGTTTGAGTCTACAGACTTTTTGTTGGGATCTCTGATTGACTTTACTCGTTAACGTACAATCCAACCAAAGTGCTGCATTTACAACCTCTCGTGATACAAGAAAAGTGCCTATTGTAGTCAAGGTATAAGACGAAGTTCACAAGAGCTTGCTATTGTGAAGGTGACATATTCAATTGTCCACATAATCGACAAAAACAAGTTTTACATGATATACAGTTCCTTTTTATTGATGTCAAAGATCATGTTGACCAGACTTAGCTTCCTGAAAAAAAAAACGTCCTACAGACATTCCACGCATACCACAATATTGTGCATGTCAGCATTCACAGAGAGGAAAATCAATGAAAAAAGCACATTGATTGATAAGATTAGAATAGATGTAAAGTAAAATACTATAAAGATAATTATTAATTTATACTCTTAATAATATACGAGGCATAATTACAATTCACTCAGGTATTTAACTTGATTTTTATCATTATTTATCAAAGTCAGTCATGTATTTTTCATGATTTGTTGCCGTCAGAAACATTAGGCTATCGAGCTTCAGGTCCATATAAATCTGATGCTCTACAAGACTGTCATGTGCCCTTCCATTCCAATTTAGTCAGTTGAGGAAACGAAACCTTTGATATTCTCTTATGGATTGATTGGAGTCGAGGATTCAAGGTTTCCCTAAGTAAACCATTAATATTCTCTTTATCAAGGTTTCTATTTTCTCAAGTAAACCATTAGTATTCTGTTGGTCTAGGTTTCTTCAAGTAAACCATTATATTCTGTTGGTCCAGGTTTCTTCAAGTAAACCATTAATATTTTGTTGGTCCAGGTTTCTTCAAGTAAACCATTAGTATTCTGTTGGTCTAGGTTTCTTCAAGTAAACCATTAATATTTTGTTGGTCCAGGTTTCTTCAAGTAAACCATTATATTATTCTTCTGGTCGAGCTTGCCTCAAGTAAACCATTATATTCTGTTGGTCGAGGTTGCCTCAAGTAAACCATTAATATTCTGTTGGTCTAGGTTTCTTCAAGTAAATCATTATATTATTCTTTTGGTCGAGGTTGCCTCAGGTAAACCATTATATTCTGTTGGTCGAGGTTGCCTCAAGTAAAAAAACCATTAATATTCTGTTGGTCAAGTGCATCAGTAGCCTGCAATTTAGTTTGATCTAAGTTTCAAAGTCACTTCAAGAGGACCAATGTTTCATAGGTACTGTAAGGGATCCATTTAAATCGGATAGTATTGGTTTCGCAGCTCATTAAAGAAGCACTCTATTTGGATTGTCTTGGTTTCGCAGTTCCTTCAATTGAACCATTCTAGTTCAGTTGCTACGGTTTCACTAACCGTTTCGGGGTTACTTCATGTGAACCGTTCTAACATGCATTGTCATGGTTTTACAGTTCCTTCGATCGAGCCATTCTAATTCGGTTGGTAATGTTTGTTCAGGGTTACTTCATTTGATCCATGTAGAACTAATTGTTCTGACGTTCAGATCACCTTTCTGGTCTTGACCGTGAAGCTTTCAAGATTTTCACCCATTGTGATATTTTGCTTTTGGTGGAAGGTACCCCTCTTTTAATATAGCGGTTGAAACGGAAACTGCGCATAGATGGGACAATAAATCGAGACCTTGGAAATGTCGCTACACATAAGATTTTAAGTTCATTTTGTTGATAGCTAGTTATTATAAGCTATAATTCCCCAAGAATGAAAGAGATAAGTGTAACAAGTGCTATGTAAAATTGTGAAATCCATACCATGACAACGATTTTCGAAAATAAAAATGAAGAAATTAAATTTTTAAAACCATTTCCATGTTAATGTAATGTAGTGAGATAGAATGATCAATAGGACGTGAATTACAACCAATTACCAATCTGAACCTGTATTTTCGATTTGTGTATTTTCAAACTTGGTATACAAACACCACCGTCAGTCCTTTGTTCCCACTATTTTATGATTGAACAGTCTTGGTACCATTAAATGCTTTTTGTAAGTGGTATATTGAAGTGGAAGATTAAACTAACAGTAAAGTAGACCCCCTATTGAGTATAATTTAACAGTGTACTATAGACCGTATCTGTACTTGCCAACTTTCTCTTGTACCTGGATAATTACTTATTGATTTTAATTACCAATGCACGTGCTTGATAACCTGTACAGGTAAAGGAACTTTGACACATGTTAGAATATTGGAGCTGACCAGTTGTAAAATGACCAGCTGTCTAGACACACTCGGTTTAATGTGCAGTGGTCAACTTCCCTTCCAGAATAATTTCAAATGGAAAAGAACCCCCAGGGTTAAGTGTTGCCTTGATTGATTTTCAACCATATTTCCCTAATAAGCATAAATAATCATAAGACTTTTTCATGGAATGAAACACCTATGAACAACTATTCAAATTTAAACAGAATTTATTGTATGAAAGATAAAGAATGGTTGTGGAATTGTTCTGATAGACAGGTTCCGTAATATAGGTCCTTTTAATACCACTTTCATGGTCTGATGTTGCCCATTCTTATTGTCCCTATAAAAAGTATCACCCATTATTGACATTATTTCATAGCATTTATCCGAAATCTGTATAGTGCTGCTACCCTACAAAGATTACCTGGCTCTTACTGTCCAGAGCCTAGAAGGTCCACATATATATATATACTAATACTATAATTATCACACACGTGAATGAAGTGTGATTTAAATCAATACTATTTTTATTTCTAAATATTATTCACTGCTGTCTATTATATTGATGCCAGTGACCTTTATTCATGTAATTCTATAGAAAATCTATAATAACTATTATTTACATTCACATTGCCTGGAGCTGTGGAAATAGAAATAAATGTAATCTTTTAAGGCTTCCTTTTCAATCATTTTTTTAGCAATTTGAAGAAAAGAATTAATATTATGACGTTTTCCTTCTGACGAATGTAAATTTTTAACAAGGAAATCATTTTATATTCAAAATTTGACAATAAAATTCACTGAAGCATCATGATTCATGAAGAAAAAAATAATTGTCAATTTCAACTATCTGTAGTACTTTTCAGAATTAAAATATAATATCCAGTTTTTTTACAACAAACAAAATAATGGTGAAAGTTTTAACAATGACGTAACAATTGTAGTAATGACTCTATGTGAAAATGTTAGGCACCACCTAGCAATGACAAGAATCTAAAATACCAGAGAGTATTTCACTTGATTTCCTGGAAGTCAGAATTTAATCATGTTAAACTAGCATGTTCTTTCAAACTGTTTAAACCCTTAATATCTCTCTCCCTCCTACAATTACACATTACTTAGATTATTTGTTTGTTCATTTATTATGGAACTGGAAGTCGCACATTCTGATAAGTGATACAGGTAAGGGTATGTAGAATTGGGTTCCGTCAGATGACAAAGTAACCAAATATATTAAACTGGTGGTTCTCTACATGTAAAAACACATTTGAAAATTGAATCATTTATTTGTGAGGGTTTTTCAGATTTTTATCCAGTGATTCCAGTCTGCTGCTGGCATTTCACGCAGGAAAATTCAAAGTTTATCTTTTATTTTAAAGTGAAGTTAGCACTTCAACTCCCAGCTTTTGTTTTCTTAACCTTTTTTTTGGGTTGTTTAAGTTTTTGACCAGTTACATTTCTAATTTTGCCTTTCACTTTTGGTCCTTTGCCTTTTTTCGATTTTGTTTTCTTTCTTTTAACAATTTTTGTATTTTTATTGTCATTTTCACTATCACTATCATCACTGTGGTCATTTTCTAGTTTTTCTTTTCTTTTCTCTAATTTCAACCGTTTGGACTTTTCATATTTATATACCTTCTGTAACTGTCGTACTGCCCTGTAATTAATAATATTCATGTGAAGGTTATATCAGTGATATATTAGAATCAAAAGAAGTCATATTTCAAGAAGCCAAATTGAAAGATTTTCTGCCACAAAAATTGTTTTCACTAATAAAATAGAATGTTTAAAAACAGATTAATATGGAAAGTAGATGCAAGCAGGTACACATAGTATTAATATGTTCCAGCTATGTTTTTTCAAGATATTTGTCGCATTTTCATGCACATTTCTATTTATTGAAAAAATATATCTCCACAAGTCAAAACTCTCCCTTCAACTAATTACAGGCCTATGAAAGAGGGCAATGTAATTATGTTTTTAAAATGTGATTAGCATTATATCTTACTGTTCTCTATCTTTTCCTTGTAATTTAAATAATGGTACTGTAGATATTCTTTGTCTTGGTACTTCACTGATAGCCATCTTCTTTAATACTTCCCTGTAAAGTTATAAATTATACATTATATCATTATTAACACAACACCTGTTCTTATATACTAAGAGAAAGATAGAAAACATTCATATTTTACAAGTATAGCAGTTGTCTTAACCAATAAGCATTGAATAAGCAGAAGTGATGACTTATTGACCTAAATTGGAACCCATGACCATGCAAGTTTGATTGCAATGTTTTAACTGTCTATTATTCTGTACCAGCTGAGAAAATTCAATTCAGCTATCTGTATTCCTTTTTAAAACAGAAATCAAATGTCAAGTTGTTCTACTATAATAACAGCAAATCATACCAGCAAGTATCCAGGCGGATTTTCACGTTTTCAGGAGCAGATATTTTCAGAGAATAACTGTAATATCTGGAAGGTCAAACAATAACTTAAAATCTTACTTTTTAGTTTTCTTCATAGATAACATATATTTAGGTACTGGACAGCCAGCTTTACGTATTACATTAGCTATACTGAAATATATATTAATCATAGAATTATTATTTCTATTCATTCTAAAGTCAATAATATAATGTATAGGTTCTTTAAAACATATTGTTTATATAAGTTACATTAAAGAAATGATTCACTAACCATACAATAATCAAATAGGGAACAAACAAACATATATAATAAATGTTTTGTAGAATTTCAACCTCTGTGTTCATGAGAGCAGTATCAAACACATCTGGTTTAGAATAGTATTAATATACACACCTTTTTAAATTTGTTGCATCATCTTCAGTAAAGAATGTTATAGCATGACCTGGTCTACCAGCTCTACCAGTCCGTCCTACAAAAGATACTTAGGTATTAGCTTTCTTGGGCTCAAATCATTATCTTCTCCAAAACACATTATTGAACCCAGATATATGTTCTACTCTTCTGTATCTGATTAGGATAATACAGACAGGCTATGAGAAAAAGGAAATCAGAATGAGCTACTATTTTATGTAGTATGCTAATTTTTGATTGAGTAATAATGAATGAACCTGGTCTGCAACATATAAAACTATATCTCCAATATAAAGAATTGCGCCTGTACAGTGTCAAAAGATTACAGTCAGTAAAAGAAACTTTTAATTTTAAAGATGAATATCCTACCTATTCTATGTATATAGCTAACAGCACTACTAGGAAAATCATAGTTTATAACTAAATTAATTCCTTTAAAATCTATTCCTCTACCCATTAACTCTGTACATATTAATACCCAGATTTTACCAGCTCGAAAACTGCTCACTACATTATCTCTCTAAAATATATTAAATAACAATACTTATTAATTCAGATATATTTGCAAAACTACAAATTTGCATCAAATTATCAGGTAGATTGCTGATCTCTCTTGGGAAAGTATTTGATTTTGTTCATTGTGATATGTCACTTCTATTTTGCTTGAAGCCCTGGAAGAAAATAACTACTTTCAGATGAAAGATGCCAACCTGTAATTGTGTTCTTTCAGCATGTATAACATCTACACTAATACCATCATATATTAATTCAGAAAATAAATCTTTAGCTCTATCTTTAGATTGTACAAATATTAATACTGGTGGTTGAATTCCCTGAAAAAATATCATAAAAATTAATATAGCCTTTACTGTTTCTGAATTACAGTTGCATAACCAAATTTTTAATGCACCAAAAGCCCTATCTTCACAATGCTATAGACATCTTTCCTCTATCATGGAAATTTGTAAATGCAGAAATTTGTTTGGATTGTGTGTTACCGAAAAACAGCCAACCATAGCCAGATATAATGTAAACAATTTTGCTGCACATGTAATCGTGGGCTATGATTGACTTGACATTGTGAAGGAAGCAATAGCCACAAACAAGCACAAATCTGAACTCCTGTTCAAATCATTCAGTCCAAGGTCTATGGTCCCTTCAGGTCTGTGCTGAAGACTGGTATCAATATCACCCACCATACACATACTTACACAACTTTCTAAACATATCTAAAGATCATACCTTTTTGATCAAATTTCTTACAGCCAAAAGCTTTCCATTTTCAGAACCAACAAATAGCAATTCTTGTTTAACTGTTTTAGCTGCAGCATTTCTGAATATAAAAATATAATTTGTCTATGTCTTTCAACTTGGAAACAACTACAGTTACTTGATTGATTGTTGGATATTGACTACAAGCTGCAAGGAATAAGAAATATGGAGCATGTGTCTCTCTCAAAAACACTTGGAATAGGCAGATAAGTCTACTGAAGGTGAAAGAAAATAAAGATCATTGTCTTTTGACTGTATTGATTCAATGTGATTAAAATAAATAACTTACATATCACCAATATAAACTTGAATAACATTATCTAAATTAGCTTTACACCATTCCTCTACATCATAGGAAAACGTAGCACTAAACATAGCTCTCTTTATATGACTATTATCACATGCTTTATATATAACAGCTAACTGAAATTAAAAAATGGAATTTAACCTCCAACTTTTCCTTCAGCACGTGGGCTAATGAAAATGGGTAATGTTATGCAGTGTGCTATGAGGAAATCCTCCACCACTGACAATGGGGGAAACAGCGTTGTAACCGTCCACTGCAATGTAAAATAGCTATATCATAATGATAACTATGATTTGTGATGTGCTACAGCAATATAAGGCTTAGGAGTATATTAACCATGAATAATTAAGGACTAACAATGGTCTGCATTCAAGAATGACTCGAAACATAAAGTCTATAGCGCACGTATTTTTGGGTAGTTTCAGTAATAATGAAAACAATATAAGTCTAAACCTCTTTTAGTACCTGATCTCTGAAACCAGATTTACCGTCTTCAAATAACTTATCACATTCATCAATAATCAACCATTCAACACTGTAAGAGAAAAACAATTTCAATCATTTTGCAATAATTTAGCTCCAAATAACTGATAGGAATCTTCACAATATCAAGCTAATACAAACTTGTTACTTGACTGCAATAGCCATCTTGTATCATAAAAAATTGCAAATGCAGCAATTTGATTGGATTACACTTTAGTAAATACAGCCAATCAGAGCCCTCGACAATAAGCCATACAGTTTACAGTCTTTCTGTTGAGGGCTGTGATTATCTGGCATCCATTGTATAAAAAGGGGGCTTTTGCATTCACGATATAAGATGTAGCTCGACATTGAGAAGATGCTCCCATTAATTTATCTTGTTTAAATGTTTTTTATCCATTGATAATGTGCACAAATTTTACACATTATTTCTCTCTTATTTTACAAAATTATTATGTAAGCAAACTTATTCCAAACAATGATAGGGTTTTATAAATGAAAGAAAGTATTGTGATTAATAAAGTAGTGAATCTTACCTATTTAAAGTAATAGAAGGAGGTTCAGATTGTAACATACAAATTAATCTATTAGGAGTTGTCACTAATATATCTACAATATAAAAACAAAAGGTTTTAATGTTAACATGTAGTCAAATCCAAATATAACATATTATAAAAAAACTCACAATGCAAGAAAGAAACCGCCAAATAGATGCGAATGGGACAGTTTTTTTAAAGTAATCTTCTGCACCCTAATGAACAAATGACAACTTGATAGCATGAAGCTGAAAACAATTTTGTAACAAATATGATATTAGCTTGCCTAATCATATAAGGACTCACCAAAATTTTTCTTGGATTTTTGACCAAACTTCTTGGCAGCTATTGCAACTTTGCTAATAAAATGAACACGGAATCCCAAGCCTTCTGATAATCTCTCAAATTCTCTAAATGTCTAAAAAAATAATGTAAGATTATGGACAAGAAACAAATTAATGCCTATGTGGCTATGTTAAAGCTCTTGACTGATAATAAATGCGAGAAGTTAGGGCAGAAGGCTTATAAGGGGCATAATGCTTGGTTAGGTATCACCATTGATGTCATGGTTTGCTGAAAAGTCTTCAAGATATTGCACGAGTCTTCAACATATTAACCAGTATTTATCTTCTGCAATGACAAGATATTCAAGTCAAGGTTTAATATTGTTACTAACAATAACATGCTTTGTCATAACATATTAAAACTAACTTAACAATCAATGTTATGATATATATTTGGGAATGAAGTGACTGCTTGGGTTCTATTGAAATCAAAGATAGTAGCATATTTACCTGTTTAGCTAATTCTCTAGTAGGAGCTAATACAAGAGCTCTAAAACCTTCATTTTTTGGTGCTTGTAAATGATGAAGCACAGGTATAATAAAAGCTGCAGTTTTACCAGAACCTGTTGGTGCACAAGCCATTATTTCTCTTTCCTATAAATTAATTTCAAATGTAAACAGTGATTCATGGCATTTTCAAAGGAACAGGGCACCCTTTAACACAATCCTTATTGCTTACAGAAAGCCTTCAAAGGAAACAGATCTAGAGCAGCAATAAATTCATGAAATTCATAAGAATTCCAATTGTCATTTCATTTATGTGACAAAAGAACATCAATATTATTATGTTGTAAGTATAACATTTCAGGTTAAGGAAAAGATTTCCAAAAGTTGAAAAATATAAAATAAAAATCACATAATAATACCTGTAACATAACTGGAATAGCTTGCATTTGAATAGGAGTTGGTTGACTATAGCCTACTTTCTTAATATTTTCTACTAATAATCTATGTAATTTGTAGGAATTGGCCAAATAATCAAAATCATCAAAGGGTTGAGGAATATCTGTGCCATGGGTGTGGATTTTGTACAACTTTCTTAAACTTTTCTTCTGGAAAAAAACAGTATAATAAGCATTGTAAAATTTAGTGTCCATATAATATTTCACTATCAGTGCTCATACAGTATGCAATTCTTACTTATAAAAAACAATATACTCATTTTCACAACTGATTATTTCTTAATTATTAAGATAGCTTGCCAGGCTAGGTAACATACGCCCACTGGCAGCTGTCAGAAATGATTAAACAGTCTTTAGTGTCTACAGGGTTGCGAAAATCAATAGGGATCATCTTCATAATGACATTGACACACAAAATAAAAATCAAAAGAATCTGTAAAAATTGTAGCCTGTAGAGTGAGCACGAGTTGCACAATATAGCTAATAGAGAAAAACGTCAAGTCAGACATGATATTTCGGTGAAAAATTATCCGATCATCACGAAAATCATTAGGGATCATCTTCATAATGACATTGACACACAAAATAAAAATCAAAAGAATCTGTAAAAAATTGTAGCCTGTAGAGTGAGCACAAGTTGCACAATATAGCTAATAGAGAAAAACGTCAAGTCAGACACGATATTTCGGTGAAAAATTATCCGATCATCACGAAAATCAATAGGGATCATCTTCATAACAACATTGACATACAAAATAAAAATCAAAAGAATCCATAAAGAACTGTAGCCTGTAGAGTGAGCATGAGCCAAATATACAATATACGCCCATCTTACGTGTGGGCGCATAAAAATACATTTAAAGAACTAAACCGGTTTTTCCAATAAGTTTTTGTGGTCTTGATCGTGAAATACATAGTACTTCATGCCAACATGTAGAGGAAGATTCCCCTTACCTCTCGTGAAAGTTTTAATGTGAAAAATCAAGCGTTAAGTCACAATCGATAAAATAATTCTTAAACGGTTACATTAAGAGTTTTAAATCTCACGGCCTCACTGTTCTGGAAAATAGCATTTATGAGAACTCAATTTCGATTGGATCAATTGAACCAATCAGCGTTAACTTCACATATTTCCGATTGGAAGACGCAATAAAAAATAAAATTAGGGTTCAACTTTGTTATTTTCATTTTTCACTATTGTTATAAATGTTATTTTGTGAATTTTGCTATAATGATATTAATCCATAATTAATATGTAACAACCAGAGAAGAACACAAAGTTAATTTTTATATTTCTGATCGAAAATTCGTCGCCATTTATGAACAAAACCTTCTGTGCATGTCCGTAGTGTCGGAAATTCCTTTCCAAGACGCTAAGAAACCATTCACGGGAAAACACTGTATCAATTATAATAGGAAACTTCAAATTTGATGAATTAAACGATTTCTCGGTGGCCAGATAAATTTAAAGAAACTATATAAAGGGTTTAGATATAGTTTCACGCATAATTCTTCACGTTAAAAATAAACCGGTCTATCCCTTTAACATTGTATTTTTTCAATTGAAGACTTTCTAGGTGCAATTTAAAGAATTTCTTGGTAAATATTTCAAAATTATCTTCAATTTTCATTTCAGTGGTGTGTTTTTCTGGTTTTTCACTTAGATTACATACAGTAAACTCCAAAGACCTTTCAAAGTGAATTCTGTTTGTGAGAACCCACAAATAATGACTAAAATAAATACAAGAAAATATCTTAGTCTTACATTATGTTCTTCTTTTGGTTTGATATTAGTCTTAATTTCTTTCTGAGTTTCTTCATCATTGCTGTCTTCACTACCTGTAAATTGTTTGAACAATGTAAACAATTTTTTAAACAAATAAAAGGGAAATAGTTTTCGATAGTTTTCATATAATTAAACTGTACAATTTCAGAACATTGTTTAAGCATGTTATTATTTTGATGTAAAGACAAAAACCTGAATCTGATTCCACTTCATCTATTTTTCTCTTTGGACCCTTTTTCGTTGTAGTATCTTCTACAGTCTTGTCTAGTTCTTGAATCTGAAATTTACAATTAATTCAACCCATTAGCCTAATAACTATAATGACTAAAATCCCCATTAAAGATGGGTTCCCTTATCTTCATTTATGATAATGAAAATGCTATTATTTATATGAATAGAAAGTAGAGATGTTCCAAAGACTTAATACCAGTTTGTCTCGCATGTCCATAATTAATTTATAATTAGCTATACAGTCAAGTAACCTAATTTCGTAGAAACCTATTATTCGTGGATTTCCGGAAAGGATTAATAATTTACATGAGCGACCTTGCGCGACCTCCGCATTAGTTTGTTTCGATAAACATGGGTTTTCTGTACAATGTCAGCTAGTAGAATGAATACAGTAGTTTCAAGCAAGGTAAAATGTATTATATATACTTTGACAAATACAAAATGGCAGATTTCACTTATTACCAAATGTCACCATTTTTTATCGGCCGAATTTTCTTATAATCCCAAGCGGTAATCGTAATTCCAAGTGTCGTCTGCTAGAATGAAGTCCAACGAATGAAGTCACGTGATCCACTAGTGGATTCTGTGTCAGCAGAAAATTTCTATGGAACACAAAGTGGACCATATTCTTATGTTGTTTCAGTGACTTTTAGTAATAAATCACGCTACGTATCTTATTTTGTCAGTCACTATTTTTTTTTAAATCGTGGTTCTTTAAAGGAATTGCCACTAGTTAAAATGAATTGATATTATAGATAAATATTTAGAGAAGTTAATTATACCACCCGGTATCCATACAATGTGTTTTTATAGACTTATTTATAGATCAAATATTATACACGAAAATAGATGACGCATTCTGCTGCCGTTACCGAGTTGGTTGCTCATGAAATATGGGTCAAAGTGAAGGATTCATAAAGAAATCGAGATAAACCAATTTTAATCATTTTGTAGATAACTGAGGAAACATCTAAAACATCAAAATTTTATATCTTGTTTTTAACTTTGATGAAATTCGGTGTTGAATCCTTATAACCACGAAAATAGGTTACACCACTGTATTAGAAGAGAATTACAAGCAGAATTTCATTGAGTGACCGATCGAGAAAGGTCATAAAGCCTTTTGTTGTGTCCCAAAATATTTGCCTAAATGAGCCACTGCTTCCGATTTCATGACATTTCCATTACCAAGCATGCCATATTCTCCATCTACCAGAGATGGGTATTGATTGGGTATCAAAAAAAAAGTTTTCAAGTCAAGTGAGAAGAATGGTATTTGTAGATCGGAAATATGGCCTATATACATTTACAGTGGCTTAGCAATTCTATACAAATAGGTACACAACCATACACCGAATATTCTAAATACCTTTAACTTCACAGCATCGTCTTTAAATCGTTTAAAATCAAACTTGGCTCCTGTACCAAGTAGTTTAAAAAGATGATAGCCATCCATGCTTGTTTTTACCGGAAGTAAACAAATCATTGGATTACTTATAGTTGTTGTCTCCCCTTGTAATCCGATTCTAGTTTAAGAATCTGAAAATCGGAATAGGTAAACAACATGGTAAGATATCAACGTGTCTCACTACTTTCATTCTTTTAAATTTGTATTAGTTACATTTGTCGTATATTGATTTTTAATCTTAAGTTTTTATTAAACCCCTTGCTGTATTCCTTACAGATGAGTAAGGGATTGTTTACGATCAAGAAATTTTAATTCATTTCCAGTGACTGATCACTGAGTGAATGATTTCATCACCATATCACTTCATCAGTCACTTACTAGTCCAATAGCTAGGCTAGTCAGTGTTCATCATCATCATCATCAGTGAGACACTTTAAAGTGAGAGAGTCACAGTAACTGCAATAATCAGTTGCCGTAATTTCAGTGACACTAGTGATAATTAGGCCTTATTATATCTATTTGAATATTTTTAGTAACTTTAAGTTTGATAGCTTTATAAATTTTAGTTAAATAGTAGATTTACTTGATATGTTTTGAAATAAATCTGTTCTCAAAGTAAAGGGAGAGATGATTTTGTAAAAAAATGATTATTTCTTTTCATTTCATGAAAAAGCCATCTTGCTTAAGGTGGGATTTCAGGCATGTAGTGGTTTCCTCCCTTTACAAGTTCATCCCTATTGGTTTCCCCCCAGTGGTTTCCACCTCTTTTTAATCCTAGTGGTTTCCACCCCTATTCTAAGTGGTTTCCTCCCCTAATTAACATGTAATAAACTAATTAAAAACCTGATTGTCATTAATTAAGAAATTGTTAAGAAAAATAGTAATATAAGTTATTTTATTAAATAAGTGTCACAAATCATTAGAATATAAATATATAAAGAATTAGAAAAAAGAGGCTTATGAGACACAACAATTAAATTTTTTTTTAATAATGCAATACACAATTTAATATCCAGTTGAAGTTGAACATAAGACCAAACCAATAATGATTGCCTAAAAAAATTAACTCTTTACTTGTTTCAGGCAATCGTGTATACAACACATATAATTATTAAAAAATATAGAAAAAAAATAATTTGAATAAGGGAAAATATAACTACATATTTTTATATCTTAAATGAAATAAAATATGTTATTAAATCAAATTCTCATTCTTTACATATCCTAAGCTTTCATATAGGGGAGGAAACCACTGGGGGGAAACCACTAGGGTGGAAATTGTAAAGGGAAGAAAGCACTATGGGAGGAACTTGTAAAGGGGGGGAAACCACTGTTTCGTATGCCAAGAACCTACTAGTAAAGGCATGTTGACTGATGTGACGAGAATTAATTTGATTAGCTTTTTAATAAAACACTACTGAGAAGGAAATCTGTCATGGCATGGAATTCAATTTGGTTCAGTCCCGTTATCTTTCATAATTTGTTTTATGAGCTGACACACAAAAGGTGTAACAATGGGCCATATTTTATTAGCTCAGTCATGCATTAGATGCACTTTACACAATTGAAGTTTGAGAGTTATTGGTGCAAGACAATTTCAACTTGACTATCCAAATGTTTTTATATCAATCTCAAATTAGGGTGTGTGTTTAAGAATTTGATAAATAACATTTTTTTGTCAAATGGAAGAAAACTGGGATGGTTGAATGACCTGATGATATAGGTTATATAACTAAATTAGGGCAGTATGTAGTTTGAACAGCTAAATTCTGATTCATTTTAAATAATACATTTTGATGAAATACATTATTGTATTATTTTGAAGGGAAACGGTTAGAAAGATATCATTTAAAGAATAATATTGGTAATAGTTTGAGTTGAATGAATAAATGAATTAATGATTTCATCTGATTTTTATAGCAATAATTAATTGGTTTTTTTTTTAGAACGGAATGGAAGATGACATATCATTGTTTGATGCTAGTATATTAGAAGAGATAGATTTTAGTAAATGTCATGGAGAATATAAACCAGCCATTTCTCATAAAAATCCTGGTTCCAATCTCCGCCTGCGTCCACTATCATCAGGAGATTTTAACCGAGGTAAGTTATTTATTCATCTTTTTATTTTATTCACTTTTATTGTACTACTTTAATCTTCATGATTCTAATATGTATATATTATTAAATAAGGTCATTTATACAGTTTTTCAAGGTTACTATTAAAATTAATCAGAAGTATGAAAACATGTTAAAATGTAGATTTTGACGTCAGATTTTGTGAAATGAATTATGGGGATTAATGACTTAAGTGATTGTGAAGAGGTTTTCAAATTTTTTTTTTATGTGTGTCATGGATACTGATAGGATCATTCCATCCATCAGGGCCTTATGTGATAAAGCATATTTTGTGAATAGTGACGTCATCAAACACTTTGTTTGAGTGTAATTTTTGGAACCACAGATGTCTGACTGAAAATTGGAATAGTGCAAATTGATGCTATCAGTTCCCCGATACACTTACAAAATTTAGAAAACCTCCTTACAATTTCTTTAAAATAATAAAAAGCAGGCATTCACGAGAAAGTGAGCACTGGGTCAAAGGTCATTCCACAGCACAATGTGTAGACAGCAATGTTTTTTATTAAATCTTTTGAAAAAAAAAATTAGACTGCTAAACAAAAAAATAACTAAGTACATTGTAAATCAGTAAATTAAATCTGGTGAAACATAACCCTGTAAAACATATCACCCCTATAACAAATCAAAGTTTAACTGATCTTAAATACACTGCTATATTTATTTGGTGACTGTAATCAAATACATGGTGATTCAGCATGATAAGAGTTCTAACTATTGAAATTTTAGGTATACTCCCTTTAAATCACCATAAACCATATATACTATTTTATTACATTTTTTTTGTTAATGTTTACTCAGCACATAAAATGGCATATTGAGGTCACTTGATTTATATATATTAGAGTTGACTAATATGAAGTTAGTATGCTTCAACTCATCTTCACAATATATAGACACAGCTCTATGGAACAATAATCACTGGTTAAAGTTTTATGCAACGTTTTGACGTGTTTCCCCTGTCGTCCTCAGACACATAATAATAAGTCCTGTTTTTCTTCCCCATAGCAAGATGTTCAGCCACAGCAGTATTTTTTTAATTAATCTTTTTTAATCAATAAACTTTTGTCAATTATTTTATTTAATCAGCATGTATGTTATTTTAAGAATTATGTACCTCTTATTGTAAGCGTACCTGTTAAAATTTAATGTGAACCAATTTATCTCTGTGTTCATAATAATAAGCATATAGTTTTCCCATCACTTCTTATCACTATGTGCCTGAGGATGACAGAGGAAACACATCGAAATTGTGCATAGAACTTTAGCCAGTGATTGTTGTTCCATAAAGCTGTGTCTATATAATTATCATACTCACAATTGCTAAATGCCATTCAAAGACTTCATCTTCACAACGTCAATCTATTATGACCTTTGTACTTATACCTTGACTCCAATAGCAGGCAAGCTGCCTTTCTTATATCACAGATGTGATTGGATTTGTAGGCTAGCTAATACAACCAATCAGATGCCTCTACAAAACCATGATTTCGAGGGTGTTTATTGGCTGTATTCGCTGTGGTACTATCAAATCAAATTGCTGCATTCATTGATTAAAGAAAGGCGGCTATTGGAGTCAAGGTATAAGCATAAACGCTTGACATTGACAAGATGGCTTCAACTGTAAGTAATCATTTGAAGCCTATATGATGGTAAATACAAAAACCCAGAGAACTATATTCTTCATTCTGCATTTCTGTTTCTTTTAGGATTTTTAAAGCTTTTGACACAATTAACTCAAGTTGGTGAAGTATCAAAGAAGCAATTTATAGGTAAGGACATCAAATTATTTTTGGTCATTTAATCCTTTGGTTTCTTAAGATTAGAGATCTTGTTCATGAATAATTTGAAATGATGAACTAAACTGTCCCCAACTTAATTCTTTCCTTTTGTACTCAAGAGTCTATTCGGTTTATCACTTTTCAAAATGAAGATCTATTGTTGAATTTATATTAAAGTTTGGAAGAGGTGGCACCAAGTTTGCCTCAAAGATTTGTTGGTATCAAATATGGCAAATTGATGTGATGTTGTTTGCGAGCTTGAATTTGTAGTTGAATGAGGGTCAAAGGGAGTATTGTCTTCATACCATATGCCAGTTATGATTTCCATGCCATAGTTCTGGCTAGTAAAATATGTTTTTAACACTATTTATTTTCAGAAAGGTTCAATTCTATGAAAGCAAGTCCTGGTGGTTATTATATCTTAGTTTTAGAAAACACAGAAACAGAAGAAGTTATAGCATCTGCTACTCTAGTTGTGGAATTTAAATTCATACACAATGCTGGTGCTGTAAGTATCAAACATTCTATATGTGATAAAGTACACTGTCGTCACGTCACAAAGGACGAAGGTTCCTGTCCATGATGCAAAATGGAACATTCCAATGGAACTGAAAGGGACATTCGTTTTTATTTTGTAGGTCGAAAAATTTTTTTGCTCAAATTTGTGAAAACTATAAACCAAAATCTATAGAAATGTATCACATAAAGTATCTGAAGGTTTTAATTATAAAAATCCAGCCGTTAATTTTTTAAAAATTTACATAACCTTTTAAAGTTCATTATGCTTTTTGCAAACTGTTAAAAAACTACTTTAGGATTTGAGTAAAATGCACGCCTAATTGTAGAGAAAGATGTCTCCTACATTTTCTTAAGATTTCAACTAAATTTAACGAGCCATTATTAAGCCAATCACCAAAACTAGGTAAAACGACTTAATTAACAATGAGTACTGTCTGTTTTTAATTAACCCTTTTAAAACAACTTCAGTTTGATCAAGTTGATACTTAGATATATATAGGTTACTTAAGAAACAAGTATAATTTACGACGATTTTTATACACCCACATGAAATGGGTGGCGTATATTGCCGTCACCAATGTCCGTCCGTCCGTCCGTCCACAATTGCTCGTAAACACTCTACAAGGGACAATTCTTGACTGATTTTGACGAAACTTGGTATGGTCGTTTCTAATCACCCAAGGATGAACCCTATTGAAAATCAGACGAATCAAAAAAAAATCTATGAGTTATTGCCCTTGTTCTTGAAACGCTCGTAAACACTCTAGAAGGTGCAATTCATGACGGATTTTGATGAAACTTGGTGTTTGTAATCACCCAAGGATAAACCCTATCGAAAATCAGAAAAATTGAAAAATATTTAGTATGAGTTATTGCCCTTGTTCTTGAAAACGCGTTCAATTTTAGCTTGTTAACACTCTAGAAGGCACAATTCTTGATGTATTTTGACAAAACTTGGTGTTAGTATTAGTAATCACCCAAGAATAAACCGTATTGAAAATCAGAAGACTCAGAAAATATTTACTATGAGTTATTGCCCTTGTTCTTGAAAACGCGTTCAATTTTTAGTTCGTAAACACTCTAGAAGGCACTATTCTTGACGGATTTTGACGAAACTTGACATGAGTGTTGGTTATCCCCCATGGATAAACCGTATTGAAAAACAGAAAAATTGAAAAATATTTAGTATGAGTTATTGCCCTTGTTCTTGAAAATGCATTCAAATTTTTGCTTGTAAACACTCTAGAAGGGACAATTCTTGACGGATTTTGGCGAAACTTGGTGTGAGTGTTCACAATCACCCAAGGATGAACCCTATTGAAAATCAGAAAAAACGAAAAATATTGAGTATGAGTTATTGCCCTTGTTCTTGAAAACTCGTTTAATTTGTAGCTCGTAAAAACTCTAGAAGGCATGATTTGATTCTTGCCGAATTTTGACAAATCTTGGTTTTATTATTCATTACCGCGCTGAAGATTGAATATTTGTCTTCTAGAGTTTTCACGAGCTAAAGATTGAACACGTTTTCAAGAACTAAGGCAGTAACTCATACTCAATATTATTCAGTATCGCCCTAAATAGTTCAAAAGAAGTGTATGACTGAAGGTTGAATATTTCATACTGGTGATTGTTACTGTACTGCTAAATATCTTTATTCAAAATCAAAGCTGCCAGTGGGCGTATATTACCTTGCCTGGCAAGCTATCTTTGATAATGAAAATGTTTTACAAAAAAAGTTGAATGCAGCTTTAATTGCCCATATATGTTGAAATCAGTTGAATTGCCACTATATTCCAATATAAATATATATAGTAAAGTAACAGCATAGAACTTCTGATTGGTTGTTATGCTTTTAAAATAAAGAAATTTCTGTTCTGTAAATTCCCTGTCTGTCAAATTAGAACTTTTTGTTTTCATATAGAGAGGTCGTGTTGAAGATGTAGTTGTTAGTAAAGATTATAGAGGAAAACAACTTGGTAAACTGTAAGTTATGACATATTCAATAGATTGTACCGTAATAAATGAAAAAAATAAACGACATTAGATACTTGGACTCAGTTTGTTAAGTGTCTAATATATTTATTTATCACAATGCCAGAGCTTTCAACTTTTATAATTACTTAATATATCTTAGATTCTAAATTCAAAGTTGGTACATTTGTAACAGTTCTATAATGTTACTTTGTACTTATCTGTGTCTGCTTCTCTTTGTATGTCAAAGACATCTGAGTAGGAACAGTTGCAGTGGAATAGCTCAGTCAGTAGCAAGTTGGTTCGTCATCTGCCATGCAATTAGGTGCAGATATGTTTGAATCCCAGAAAAAGAAAGACAAATTTAGGAAGCTATGGCCATTGCTTTGTTGATTCTTGCCTTTTTTCATGAATTTTTTTTTTCAGATTATTAGACTGCTTGACATTATTGGCACCTAAAGTTGGTTGTTACAAATTATCATTAGAATGTAAAGATCCACTGGTAGATTTTTATACAACATTTGGTTTTTCTAAAGAGGCTCAACAGAACTATTTAGTACAGAGATTTTGGGATTAATGTATACATGAAATTTAGGTTTACTTTTTTGTTGATTTTTGGTTCAATTTTAAAGATTTTAGAAGTTGTCAATTCATGGTTGTAAAATCTGTGTGGAATGTTAGTGATTTTGGTGGTTTATATACATGAACCTAACAATCTGTGAGTAAATCAAAAGAAATTTTTCCTCAGGTAATTCCTGCTTTGTTGGTTACTCCAGTACCAAACCTACTTACATAAACTTCATTCCGTCCAAACTTCCCCTGTACACAACACTATAAATTTGTTTGCAATATTTCAGTTTTCTGAGGTTAATAGTTGGACTATCTTGTATCAAACTATTTCTATATTTCTTTCTTTTATGGTTTTGTAAAGTTTGATTTTATTGTTTAGTTATATAAGGGCTAGGGGCCTCTTGTCAGAAACATCATAACTTTAAGATAATTGTTTTCAAATAATGGTAAGGCCATACGAAATAAATAATCTGTTTTACAGGCCTTTTTTTTCAAAAATCGGGCCGAGAGGGTGAATTTATTATTTATAAGAGCTGTTTTAGATTTTCAACTGGAATAAATCGGAGCAAATGAAAGCATTTATTATTTATTACCACAAATTCAATGTACATTTAATAATAAGCTAACAATCGGGCATTTTTAGGCCTGTAAAACAGACTATTTATTTTGTATGGCCTAATGTATAAAACTTAATGAGAATAATAGATTTTCTTGCAGTTGATTAAGACATATGATAAAATGTTCTAAGTATCTGAAAATGTAGTACTTAATTTACCCATATGTTGAGCATTTATTAAAACATGAACATTTTGCCAGTAGAAATACATTCATTTTTTAAAAAGATTTAATAAATTGTGGTGCATTTATTTAAAACTAAGGAAACTTTTGCCCTGTTTGTTTCCACATGTAAATATGAGAAGTAAAAAAAATAGTATACAGTGGGTAGGAAATTTTCAAAAGTTCAATGTAATTATTTTTTATATTATTTCCTCAGATTTTTGTCAATTGATTTGAATTGGCTACAATATTGAAAGATTAACTCAAAAACTTGGGTTGTTCACGACCCAATTTCCTAGGTAGTAGTGTTACAACAATTTACAGATGAATCGATGACCTGCTATTCTTTCCTTCTAATCGACGCACTGCACTGCACAATTATGTCAAATAATCAAAGAATTCTCTTGTGAATACAAAATTGTGTCATGATTTAATTTTAAAGTATATTTTCAAATCAAAATTTGTAAAAAATACCACTTCTGCCTTAAAAAAAGAAAATTTTCTTTCACAATTCTCTAAATGTTCAAATGTGTAAAATAGTCACAAAATTGTTGTATATTTCTTTATCTAATAAATGAAATGTTAAATGTATCAAATCTCAACTTCAAGAATTGTTGCAGCCCTACCCTGCAGTAAATGTTAATTCCAACGTAATATATTCTACCTATTCTTTCTATTTATCTGAGAGGTAACGAATACAGCATATTGTTTTTGAAATTGGTCTCCTGTGGTTAAGGTATTATTATGTATATCAGAACAAGTTATATATATTTTTTTTTAGAAATAATCTCATTTTTATTGTATATATAATAATATATAATTTGTTTATTTTGAACTCGTTATTTATACCAAAGTATTAATTTTGTTATATCTTATACTCATGCTTTATATTATTTATTTGACATCCAAGTTGGCTTAATTATATCTTAACTATTAAATATTTATCAGTGTCGGTTATTTAAGCTTCTCACTAAACTCTGTGTATATTTATTATCTTATTTTAATTTAAGAGATTTTGTTAATTTGCTTTGTCCTTTTTATTAAATTTTATGGGAAAATAAAAGAATATATTTACTATAAACTGTATAATTTTTCTTTATTGAATCACAAATAAGCACCTTCACATCTATACATATATCTAACTGTATCAAAAGTGTCCAACCCTCTTTAACTGTTGAAAAGATAATGAAACACAAACACAGTACTGGAATATTTCATATTCAAGCTAGGTGTATACCATATCAATTAGTTCCTTATCTATTACAGTACTTTTACTTTATACTTCATTTCATAGCAAGAATGTCTCCACAGTGTTTATATGGAAAATAGATTTCTTATTTAGATAGAAAACATCACTCAATATTAACAACCAGTAGCATTACCATCAGCCATATAGGTCTCGTAGTCAAATTCACTTATCTGACTACTGTCATATAATAAAGCTATAGAATCTATTTCTAAATGAAATGGTCCATCAAAACCATCTTGACAAGAGATACCTATATTGGAAACTCTGGAGCCATTCAATGGTTCCTGCTTATCTTGAAGTCTTCCTTTGCTTGTCAGAAAAAACTTTGAAAATGGGATCTGAAATTAAATAATTTTTACATTCATAATTAAAATAAATAAAAAGATCATAATGGGATCAAATGGAACATGTAAACGCAGAAATGTTAAGTTATATTGCTATGAGTCTTATCTGTGATGCTTCATTATTGAGTTCTGAACAGGTTCCGTTAGTTCCAATTCTAGATTCAATCAAATGGCACACAACCAGATTATGTCACATCCACCATTTTGAATTTTGTCTGCACCTACAAGGTTTGACTCTTATCCCTATTCTAATTTGTTTTAACGAATATGATTCCCAAACGTGCAGAACAAATCAAACCTCTAATTTAGGAAGAGACTGTTCATTTTTATCTTTTGCAGAATCAACTGAGATAAACTGTATGCATAATATTTTTGAAGTCTGACACAATTTAATTATATATGAAAAGAAATATATTTACCATAACTGTCTGCCAATAGGGTCCACCTCTAGTATGTAATGGATAACAATATAGATCATGATTTTGAACATCATAAAACTTCTGTTGACCAATAGTTAGTAAATAGTTGCGCCCATCACCACGAACTTTAAGAAGTAATGTGTTGAATGGATCAAAATCATATACATCAAAACCAGATTCCTGAAAAAAAATTACTTTCATAAGAAGTGATAGCGTCTCCGGTGTCATGTTCAAACTACTTGAACCATCCGGTCACAACCATGGCCATTTTTCCATTTTTATGTTACATTTAACCAACCACAGAATGTCATGTAGGACCTTTTCTAGCAAACAACAATGAATTATGGGATAGCACTTTCTTTGGGTTCGCTATCCCACAGTTTGTCATTGTTCTCAAAAAATGAGTTTTTAACAAGCTTTGATTGGTTAAAAATAAAGGCCTTAAAACATACTGTGGTAAAAAGAAAACTTGTCAGATTATAATGAAGATGAAAACTATCAGGAAAAAAAAGGAATGAAATTGTAATTTGCCAAATTTAATGTACATGGTGATGCTCTCATCAAGAAAGCATTATCAAAATAAACAAGAATAAAATAAATACTTACATAATTGCCAGGAGATCTTATATTACAATATCCTGCATATCTGTTAAAACCATCTTTTACAGTTTCTGTGTTGAGATAACCATGGAAAACACCAGTTTTGTTTTCACTAAACTGAAAATGAGCTTTACTCATTCCTACAAAGACAGAAAATCACACAAGTTATTTCCTATTGATATCAGAACCTGGACTGAGGGCCTATTCTGTTATAAAGAAGTACAATGGTATAATCTATAATGTGATGATTAAGACCATGAAGCTGTGTTACGCAAACAAGTTTTACATCAGAAGATCTATTGACACAATCTTAAAACTGAAAAACATTCAGTAAATTGGATATGGTAGCCTAAATATACAGTCAAGTAACCTAATGCTAACCTATTTTTCGCGCATTTCCAGAAAGGATTAATAATTTACACGTGCGACATCGTGTGACCTCCGCATTTGCTTGTTTTGATAAACATAGGTTATCTCTACAATGTCAGCTAGTAGAATGAATCCAGTAGTTTCAAGCAATGTAAAATGTATTAATGTATACTTTGACAAATACAACATGGCGGATTTCACTTATTACCAAACATCACAATTTTTTATCGGCCGAATTCCCTTATAATCCCAAGACTGTAGTCCAATGAATGAAGTCACGTGATCAACTAGCGGATTCCGTGTCAGCAGAAAAATTGTATGGAACACAAAGCGGGCCATATTCTTATTATGTTTCAGTGACTTTTAGCAATAAATCACGCTACGTATCTTATTTTGTCAGTCACTTTTTTTTCTTTGAAATCATGGCTATATGATTCAATTATTTACATATAAATAAACTTATACCATATTCTAAATGTAATTGTATATTTTGAAACCATTAATCCTACCTTCAATATTATCTTTATCACTTGTAACGATCCATTTATCTATAGTTTCAGGATCATGAAATTTCCATATATTTTCGAAATCTCCATTTTTGATATTAAAACGGATGTCAAAGTTCAACATATGCGTTAATTTATTTCTGAATATTTCTACTTCTTGTTTTAACACTGCTACTCTATCTTTGTGTTCTACATCTTTATAATATTTACTCCCTTTAAAAGAATGAACATCCCACGAAGTTATGGAGGCAGTCTGATTGGCAATGCATCTAATATGACTGAAACATCCTTTGGCAAGAAAAAAACGAACACGCCCAAGATGTGCCATCAATATTACATGATAGGAAAATCAGTGTAGATATCTAGTTCGATTAGGCTGTCTTAGGTTGCTGTGGGTTTGACTTCCGGACTGCTAATTCTGAAATATGAAATAGCCCTTTTCTGACATTCTGATGGTATATTTTCTAAATTGTAAGGATATTTACTTATTTATTCAGAAGTTTGAGAGAAAGTCTGCACTTGCAGTCCCTTGTTACACAGTGTCACTGCCAATGAATGTGGTGTATCTGCCAGTGCCAATTCAATGAAGGTGAATTGGTAAATAACATTTAACAAACTAGAGTGAGGTCAGTGAGTGAGAGAGGTTGTACTATCATGTGTCCTACTAGTTGGCATTTTCAGACATATACAAATCAGTGCATCAGTATAATGCAAATAATAATGATGTTTAACGATAAAAAGCAATATATCTTACATAAACAAGAAACTCATTAAAGAGAGCCACTGTGACGAAGTGTAAATTGGCTAACTCTGGATTCATGAAGTTGTTTTTCGTCCTTGAACTTCACCTGTAAATTCAGCCAAACCATCCATAACCAAATCGTCCAGCTTGTTGAAAAATTTGAACAAGCATCAAGTTTTGATAAGTATAATTTGCTTAAATTATATTTTGATAAAATTTTGTAAAAATTATCATCAATCTACTCAAGCCCTGAATCTAAATTATTTAAATTTATCTGAATAATCACATTTGACATGTCTACTTTTTTTTTGGACCATTTGACGTGGTTAAAACCTTGACCCTGAAGAGGAAGGTCAATTTAATATGGGATGAAAGGTTGACTTACCATTATTTAGACAGTCATTAAACGTTTCATTATTCAAACACTCTTCAACTAAACTTCAGTCACAATGGGTGCCAGATCATCCATTCAACTACAAGAGGCAGAAATAAATGAAATCAGCAAAGAAACTGGATGTAAGTTTAATTATTTAGTTTTTGCCTTTGAGTTTGATGATGAGAATCAGGGATACTGACGACTGACAATATTATTGTTATAGTTGGACTTTCAAGTGCACCGGTGGTATTGATATTAAACAGACCTCAATATATTGCCAGGCCCTATAATAACTATCAACTTTCGGAAATGG